CGCCGCGTCGCCAAGCTGTGCCGGCGGCCGACCCCGCGGCCCCTCCTCGGCCGCCCCCCGTTCCCGGCTCCCGCCTGGAAGCACTTGGCCGCTCGTGGCCTCCGCGGAGCCGATCGGCCTCCCCTCACGTCCTGCTTTTAAACCTGCAAGATGGCTGTGCTTCGGGGAAAAGGTAAATCTGCAATCTCCTTGGGGAGGCTGAGGCAGGAGGGTCTCGGGTTCGCGTGGGGAGGCTGAGGCGGGAGGGTCTCGGGCTCAGGGCCGGCCCGGGGTGCAGAGCAGCGTCGCGCTGGAAGGAGAATACAGGAAGGAGGGAAAAGAGCGAGAAAGGAAGGAAAGACAGGCGGAGGGAACGCGCCTGCCCTCGGCCCCGGGCGGCGACACAGCCTGAGCTTCCCGGGAAGGAAGGCCTGTCTGCGGGCGGCGTGATCTTGGCAGAGTGACCTGGCTCGAGGTGGCCCGCGGCTCACACGCAGCCGCCAGCCCGCACCTGGACACCTCCCGGGGCCCTCTGTGCCCAGCAGCAGGCGAAGGGATAAAGCAAACGCCGAGGGCAGCCGGCACCGCTGGCAGAGCGGGTGACAGGGCCTCCAGCCTCCCCACATCACTGTCGCTGACGCCTGCAGAACACAGAGACCCCGGAGTCCTTGGCACTGCGCCGGCCGCACACTTGCTTTGAGCTGCACCCCACAGACAGCGTCGCTAAGCTGCCTGGCTGGGTTCCTCCGTGAGACCCTCCTGCCTCAGCCTCCTGAGTGCAAGGATGACCAGCGGGCACCACCGCGGCAGCCCCGTGCACCCCGCACTTTCCCTTGGCCCGTTTCTGTCCTTCCGCATCTCTGGTTCCCAAAGCTCAGGCCAGGTTGTCCCGGCCCACACCCACAGCACCTCGCCTCACCTCTGAGATGAGTCACACGGACACAGTGAAGTGGTGGTGCGCAGCTGCCACCCCACCACCCACTCTGGAGGCTGAGGCAGGAGGACTGCGCTGGCTGGAGACCAGCGGGGGTTACACGGTGAGACCCCATGTGCAAGACCCCAGCACAGTCCAGCACACACTGGAAGCAGCCTCTGTGTCCAGGCGCAGATGGACAAAGGAATGGGTGATGGGGGTGTAATTTGCACACATGGAGTACTACGCAGCCACAAAGAAGGGCTCGTGTGGCACTTTTCCTTCTGTGAGGGTCGCAGGGCACAAACACAGAACAAAGTAAGACAGGTGACAGGAAACAGGGAGACAGACCTCACTCAGGTGGCAAGAGTGGAGGCGGAGGCTGGGACTGGAGACACTCCTGCCTCAGCCTCTCAGAGCCCTGCGGTGACACGATGTCTCTCCTTGTCACTTTTAGCAAGCGTTGGCATCCACGGCGCGGGCTGAGGCCTTAGCACTCTTGCCGGGGCCGGGGGCTTCAGGTGGGCTTTCCTCAGACATGTCTGCATCCCCGCACCATCATGCGCGCGTCATGTGTGGGTGTCTCCCGTGGACTTTCAGGAAAGATGTCAGTCACAGGGCCCAGCGCGGTGGGGAGGCGCACGCCTGTCATCACGGCACTCAGGAGGCTGAGGCGGGAGGATCTCCCTGAGTTCAAGGGCAGCCTGAGCTACACAGCGAGAGCCTGACTTCCGGAGGCGACAAGCCAGGACGGTGTGCCAGGGCCAGTGGCTGCCGCGGGTGGTCATGCCCAGGCCGGGCCGGGCCCCCCGTGCCTGCTCAGGGTTCGCACCTGCCGTCTCTGTCACGGGCATTCTCCAGCCCCGCAGATTGTCTGCCCGACTGACCGCCCGGGACCCCCAGCCCCAATCGTTTATAATTTGGAGTTTCTGAGACGGGGTCTCGCTGTGCAGCTCAGGCTGGCCTTGGGCTTACCGTGGAGCCCAGGCTGCTCCTGAACTCCCGGAGACCCTCCTGCCTCAGCCTCCCGAGCGTGGGCTGACCGGCGTGTGCCGGGCGCCCGGGCTTGGCAGTCCCGAGGTTGACTTTGTGCCGACTTCCCGCGCCCGCCAGTCGAGCCGCACATCCTCGGCCTTGCGAAACCCACTTCGAGGAACTTCAGCGGCCAGCGGCGGGCGGCGCCTCCCCTTCGGTACCCAACGGGCCCACGAGGTCCGGCCTCCGGTCCCGCGCGCTCCGGGTGCTTGAGCCCAGCGCCACCGGCGGCCGCGTGTGGCCTCCCCGTCCCGCGTGCGTCCCCCGGAGGGTCGCGGGGTGCAGGGTGCGGGCGTGCGGGCCCCAGACTCATTTCCCAAGAGGAAGCTGCAGGCTGGGAGAAAAGGGAAGCGCCGGAGCCTGGCTCGAGAGCAGACGCCGCCGGGCCACCCGATGCCGCAGGGTGAGGCCATGGGGGCTGGGGGTGCAGGGGACCCCGGGGGAGGAGCGGGCAGAAGGGACGGACGGGGCGGCCGCCCCGCCACACAGGCTCTGCCCCCCGGAGGCAGCCGGCGGCCGGCAGGCGTGCTGGGGCGAGGGTCGGGGTGCTGGTTCTCCAGGCCGCCCCCCCCGCAGCAAAGGGGTGCAGGCTGCAGCTCGCAGGAGCCCCAAGCCGCGGGGGCCCCGAGGGCCAGCTCCCGCCCTCAAATCTCGGCTCCAATCCCCGCACCCGGGAGGCTGAGGCAGGAGCATCCTCGGGAGGTCGGGACGGCCTGGACCACAAAGTGAGCTCAAGGCCAGCCTGAGCTGCACGGCGAGACAATCTCAGCAAGAAAGAAAGATGGATACATAGAAAGAAAAAAGAAACTGTCCTGCCCTGGAGGCTAGCAGCAGAGAGGGAAGGAAACTGCAGGGTCTCTTGCCGCAGAAGCATGCGTGGGACTGAGGCGGCGCCGGGCACACACCCGTGATCGCAGCACTCGGGAGGCTGAGGCAGGAGGGGCTCTGCCAGGTCGAGCCCAGCCGGGGCCGCAAGGCGAGCGCCGGGCCAGCCTGGGCTGCACACTGAGACCCCATCTCAAAAAGACCAAAGGGGGGAAATATATGTCGGAGCCAACGCAGCTGCGTCCAGGACGGCCTGGACCACAAAGGGAGCTCCAGCTGCGGGCGGGACGAGCCAGCCTCCGGCGGTCGTGTCCTTTGATAGTCCAGCTCTCGCGATAACTGATCTGGCACAGGGTCATTACGTAGCTCGGATGACGGCAAGTTCAATCTCGCGATTACTAACTGTTCTGCTCTCGCGATACTAACGCTGTCTAGGGCCAGCCCGATAGCTCAGCGGACTAACTCGATCCCCCAGAGCTGCGCCGGCCCCGCCCCCGGGGCGCACTGAGATGAAGATTGAGACTAGGCGTGGTGGCGCGTGCCCGTAATCCCAGCGCTTGGGAAGCTGAAAACAGGACGACCACCACGAGCGCGACGTCATAGTGCGACCGTGGAGCCGGGGGATCGAACCCTGGTCCCCGCGCCTGCCAAAGCGGGCGCTTAGTCCACTGAGCTACCTTACCAGCCCTAGGCGACATTTCTTTAGAGAGCAAGCCTGTGATGCCAGCGCTGGGGCGGCTGAAAATAGGAGGATCGCTACGAATCCGAGCGGTGTAGTCAGAGCCTACACTAAATACATAAATGGAAAAAAAAAACAAAACACAAAACTATCCTAGTCTCGCGATAACTGACAGGATGCGTGGCTCCGTTCTGTTCTTGCAGTGTTTGACCTGATCTCCCGGGAAGTGGTGTAGTCTCGCGATAACTGACAGGATGCGTGATTCCGTTCTGTTCTCGCGGTAATTAACCTGATCTCCCGGGAACTGGTGTAGTCTCGCGATAACTAACCAAGCCCGGGAGCCCTCACCCATGCCCAGATGTGGGCGCTAATTAGTTCCAGGAGTTGGGCACCAGGATGAGATTAGAGACCCTCGCGTCTTTAACCTGAGATTAGAGACCCTCGCGTCTTTAACCGTCACATTAGAGACCATGCAGTGTAATTTTCCACTTAGGGGATACCTCTAATCCAGGCAGACAGTGGAGTCAGAATGTGGTCCCGGGCTCCCGGGTGAGGCTCCTGGGGCCGCAGGTCTCCCTCGAGGGTGACGGCGTCCCTGCCGCCCTGTTCCCAGGTGTGAGGCGCAGGAAGACCCGGAGAGGGGCCCGGCTCCCAGCCAGCCTGGCGGAGGGTCGCCTTGCTTCTGCGCGGCCAGCCGCGTGTGGCGGTGCTCGCCTGTGGTCACAGCCCCGGGAGGCTGAGGCAGGAGGGTCTCCAGCCGGGGCCCAGCCGGGCAGCGGGGTGACCCAGGGACGGGCGCCTCCTGGAAATTTAAGAGCAAGGAAGGCTGGGGTGCAGCCCAGCAGGAAGGCCCCAGGACTGGGGAAAGTGAAGAGAAACGAGTGTGGTTGTGCTGCGTCACCCTGCACACTCATAACTCGCCCAGGCGCCGCCCTCGAAGAGGAAGCACGTTGGGGAACTGTCCCTCCAGTGGCGTGTTTCTGTACAGTGACTCCCCCTTGCCGTGGCAGCCCTGGTGCCCCGTGGCGTCGGCTCTGCACCGCGCAGACAGGAGCCCCGGGCGCCCCAGCATGGGCCCTGCCGGCCGCGGGCGTGCCTTGCAGTCCCCGCTCCGTCCAGTCCTCCTGAGGGGTCCACGGATGCCCTCTGGCGCCCTCCTGCCTCAGCCTCCCGGGGCGGGGGCCTCGCTGATGTCACTTCTTGCTCTGCGCTGTGCCTTCCACTTCGCTTTGTTGAAAAGGAGAAAAATTAGAGAGCTGGAATCGAACTTAGTGAAAAGCCGGGGCCGGGCGGCAGGTGACAGGGAAGGACAGTCGCGGTCGCCGCTGCCCTGCGCGGCCGGCCTCTCACCCTGCGCCTCCCCCAGGACCCCGCCCCGTGGGGAGCCCGGAGCGCGTCCTCCCTGCGCCGCCGCCACCACTGCTGCTGCTGCTGCTGCTGCCGGCCCTGGGCCTGGGCCTGGCGGGCGCCCTCAGCGCGGAGCAGAAGGGTAAGCGCGCGCCCGCCGGGCTGCCGTCGGGGTCCGGGCGCCTGTCTGCAGCCCGCGGTGATGTCGCCGTGTCTCCCCACCTCTGGGCTTATCAGGACTGGGTGCTGCGTGGACTTCCGCTCCAGCTCTGTCCAGGTGGTGGCTGTGGCTTCAGGGCCCGCATCTGCCATGTCCCCACGTTCTCCCATGCCCTGCACGGGGACAGATCCACCTGCCTCAGCCTCCCGAGTGCTGGGGTGACGGGCATGAGCCCCACGCCCGGCTCTGTGGTGCGGGGTGTTTTGCCCCAGGGTAGAACAGCGACCAACACTCTCACGCTGCCACATGTGCTGGCGGAGGACGTGGACTGCCTGGCCCCCAGGGCGCCCCTGGCTCCTGAGGACCCCGAGGGCTGCGTGACACCCGGGGGGGGGGGTGAGCGCTGTGGCCATGTGCATGGGCCTCGCCTTTCAGTGGTGCCCGTGCATGTCGGCGTGGGTGTGCCACAGCGCAGTGGCGTTGCGAGCGTGGGCATGCATGGGAGGGAGGCTGCACGGCGTGTGCGGGATGCCCCGTGTTTGCACGGTGGTGCGGCGGGTCCCGGCCTCAGGGCCTGCTTGGGACGCCAGGGGGGCCCCAGCGACTGCCTGCCACCCCTGAGGAGACGGGGACGGAGTTGCTTCTGAACCAGGTGACTCTGCTTTGTAGATCCAGAGCCAAGCCTCAGGCTTAACGTGACCTTCAACGCCTCATCAAGGACGCTGTCCTGGGACTGCCTGGAAAATGCCACCCACCACCTGTACATTTACGACGCAATGGATTCCCCGGCCGTGCTGGTAAGGCCCCGGCCCTGTGCACGGTTAGAGCCCCACACGTGGACCTCGTCCAGGGCAAATGCGCAGCACAAGGGCGGCTTCAGAGACGTGTGTGCATCCGTTTTACTAAGAGTGACTTGACCTCGTGCTTTTTCATGGCTGTGTAGTACTCCACATTGTGTCAGCACATGTTTGTGGCCCATCTGTCTGTTGATGGGCATGGGGGCTGCTTCCCTGATGGAGGCTGCCGCAAGTTGCCCTGCTGGGGATAGGTCACTGTAACACACGTGCCTCCTCTTCCATCCCTCCCTCCGCCCCTCCCTCCCTATCTCTCTCGCTTTCCATCAAGGTTCGATCAGTATCTTCCCCCACCTTCCTCGACACCGCCTCTTTCCACATTTTCCTTTGAGGCAGGGGCTCTCTAAGGCACCGAGCTGCCGCTGCCGGGGCATGACTTGCGATCCTCCTGCCTCAGCCTCCCAGAGAGCTGGAGTTCGAGGCGCACACCGTCCCCAGGCCCAGCTTGCTCTGAAACTCCTCAAGGGCTGCCCAGTCATCGGCGTTCGCATTTGCCTCCAAATGGGGGCGCCCGCCGCAGTGCGCGGGACGGGCACACGGGGTGGGGTCCCAGAGGGTGCAGGTGGGGGCCACGCCTCGGGGGGCGCAGGGGTCGCTGACCGGCTGCGTGGCGGCGCCTTGCAGAACGTACGGGGCGCCTGCTCGTGCGTGCTCAAGTACCACCTGCTGCACAAGGGGGCCACGTTCGAGGTCCACGCCATTGTTCAGGACAGACTCTTCCGGGGCGCGCTGCAGGTCTCCAACCCAGGTAGGGAGCGCGCGGGTCTGGGGCGGCCCCGGCCTCGGCGCCGGGCGAGGTCTCTGGACGGTGCTCTGCGCAGGGCCGGAGGGCAGCGGCGCCCAGAACCTCACCTGCTTCATCTACGACGCGAGCTACATGAACTGCACGTGGGCCCGGGGCCCCGCCGCGCCCCGCGACACCCAGTACTTCCTGTTCATTGCAAACACCAGGTGAGCCTGGGCCAGGCACGGGCAGTGAGAGCTTTTGGCCAGGAGCTCACTGAGCAGCCCAGGCTGCCTGGACCTCGCGGCCATCCTCCTGCCTCAGCCTCCCAAGGGCTGGGACGGCAGGCGTGCACACCTGGTGGCAATTTTTCTGACGGGACCCCTCTGGGGCTCCCAGGACGCACCGGCAACGCGAATGTCCCCTCTACACTGAGGACGCCGCGGGGACCCACACCGGCTGCCACGTGCGGGATCTGTCAGGCTTGAGCTTCTCCAACTACTTCCTGGTGAACGGAACCAGCGCGGAGACCCCGATCCAGTTCTTTGATGCCCTGTGGAGCATCAAGCGAATAGGTGAGGGGGACGCGGGCGGCCGGGGGACCGGAGGCTGAGGCAGGACGACCTCCAGGCTCCAAGGCCTTCTCTCTCTCTGTCCCTGCACGGGAGCAGGGAGAGCAGGGGGAGCCAGGACACGCGCTCCTCGCCCAGGTCGCACCCCGGGGACCCCCAGCCCGCCCACCTCCTATGCAGTCACCGGGAGCTCGTCCCTGGTGGGTCCCCAAGGGCACGCGCCCGGGACCCCTGACGTCCCGGCTGGCCGCGGGCAGGGTGAGCACAAGTGTGCACGCGTGTGACCTGGCCGTCCTCCCAGAGTGGATGAGCCCGCCGGGCAACGTCACCGTGCGGTGCAACACGAACCACTGCAACGTCACGTGGACACGGCCGCGGACCAAGACGCTGCTGACCCCCAGGGATTTCCAGTACCAGCTGGACATCCAGAGCCGGGTGAGCGGCCGCGCCCGGCCCCGGGAGGGGAGGCCACGGAGGACCTGGGTGTGCAGGGCGGGCAGCAGCGGGGCAGCCGAGGGCGAAGGAGGAGGACGGAGGTGAGGACACGGGTCTCTGCGCTGCGCTATCTCCGGCCGGGCGTGACACAGGACGCTGGGGACCACACCGGGGCCCCGCCGGGACCCCCGCCCGGCTTCCGGGCCCGGGCTGCACCGCCTTCCTCCCTCCCCATCTGCCGTGACGCCTGCCCGGAGCAGCTGCCAGACGGCACCCCGGCACCCCTGCACCCCGGCACCCCTGGGCCTCGTGGGCGCTGCTGCAGGTGTGGGCACAGGCC